CTACAAAATGGCTGCTGGAAGCCCCAAAATGGCCGCGCGCAGCGTTTTCGCGCCCTCGTAAAGCGAGGGGAGGGCGCGAAAATGGCTGCCGGCCATCCTGAAGCATTGCTGAATGGTGAGTATTCGGGCCAATTGGAACACATTAAACCATGTTTAATGTGTTCCAATGGGTTTTTATGTTCCGTTCAACGATGCTTTCACACAGCGAGGGTTAATCCGGAACGGATTAACCTCGCTGTGCGAGGCACCACTGTATTTATATGAGCCACCTCCTGGAGCATTTATTTTATATACAAGATGGCAGAAGGAGGCTGGTCAACATGTCTGGCACAATGACAGCACTGGACATGCCTGTCTGACATTTATTTATTTATTTATTTATTTATTTATTTGTTTGTTTGTTTGTTTGTTTGTTTGTTTATTTATTCATACATACATACATACATACATACATACATACATACATACATACATACATAAATACATGCTGGTTCAGCAACAGCTACAATTAAAAAAAAATAGGAAAGTAAGAGAAAGAAAAGAAAAAAAATTAAGAGTTGGCTGGAGGGAAGGCCTGAATGAACAACCATGTTTTTAATTGGGTTTTAAAGATGCCCAGCGTAGGGGCCGCACAAATCTCTGGAGGGAGACTGTTCCAGAGGCGAGGAGCCACCACCGAGAAGGCCCGGTTTCGTGTCTTCTCCTTCTGGGCCTCTCTCGTCGTCAGGCTCTTCAGCCTGACCTCCTGACTCGTGCGGGTAATCCGGGTAGACCTTGGTGGAAGCAGGTGTTCCGCCAAACATGGTTTGTCCTCCCTCTTTTATTCTGAAAAGGAGCTTCTAGGTCTGGCTAAGAAGTGTGAACTGATTGATAGGGGTGTTGCCACATTTCTGTATATCCCCAACTCCTGGCCAAGAAGCAAACTTGAGTTGCAGTGGAGGAGGGGGGAAATGTTGAATACCTGATGTACCTTTGGTGAGTTGAGAGAGACAATCCAACCATGGGCCATCAGAGTGGAATTTCAAATCTACATTCCTGATGTATGTTTCCAGCCTGCGTATTAAAACTCAGTTTTAGGAAAGAGACACAGCATGGTAGTCTGCTGTGATATCTGGAACATTTTAAATGTTTTTTCCTGCATTATTCACAACACGGTGCAGTCTAATAATGACGTGTACGGGTCAAAAGCTGCCCTTTGTGTATCTGTGTGTGATTTCTTGGTGGTCTAATAAAGGTATCACCTACTCTTGCCTTTTAACTTGCTCAAGGATACCAAGTAAGCTTTGTGAATAAGCAGAGATTTGAATACCCATCTCCCTGTTCCATGTCCAACACGCTAACCACCATAACTATGCTGGCTCCCTCAGACCAGTGGTTACAGCATAAATGATCCCAAAGCTAAATGTACTGGTGGAAAAATAATCCAACAATTAACATATTTGATTACTATAATATGGAAAAATCCACAATAATGAGCATGTCATGGAAATGTGTAGAGTATACAAAATGCAGTGGCTGTTTAGCATAACAGCTGGCTGGATGGCTCAGTAAGAAGGAATACCTGGGTGGACAGCCAGAGGTTGAGAGCTGGGTTCTCCACTGTGCATCCCAGGAGAAGAATCAGCCTGTGTAGCAATGGGGCATCTCACACAGTCCCAGAGCCCCTTGCACCACCAAGAAGGGAATGTTAAACCACATCTAAGTACTTTACAGCCACAATCCAGTAACAACAACTACAGCTGACCTATAGAACAGTAGGGATTTGTGGAGTGGTACCTATGCAAGTTTCATTGATTCAATGGACTTAATCTAGTTTCAGCTTACTCCTGGATTACAGCCTATATATAAGAAACCCTGAGAAGGATCACTGTAAATTGGAATGAACTTGACGACACACAATTATTAAACTGCTTGATACTTAATTTGCCTGGATTTGGAAAACCAGAATATGGCAATCCTATGAAAAATGGAATTGGTTTTGGATTCTTTTGGCTCAGTTCCCACACTTTGCAAGCTGTATTTGTATTTGGATTGTATCTGCTCAAACTTGATTGAAGTCAGCTTCATTTTTTAGAGGTGTACAGTGCCAAAGGGCTATAGAAACTTGTTTTTCTAGTTCTTTGTGAGCCATATCTGATAACACTGCAGTATCTTCTATTACTGGGGTTTGCTCTTCCTGCCATAAAAAAATTATCTGAACTAATCTGACAGAGGCACATATCAGAGTGCTAAGGAGACTGACTGGCAATCTATCAACCACACATACATTTCAAAATTAGGGAATAACTTTAAAAAAGGCTGGGATTTTTTCCAACCCCTGGAACATTCATTTACTATTCAAGATAGCAGAAGTAGACTACTTGGGTGTTTGCATGTTTTAACAAAGGATAACATACTGGTTAGCCCTAGCAAATCAATAATCTTAAATTTCAAGATTGCAAGTAAATACATTCCTGTTAAGGATGCTTCACCACTAGATGGGTGAAAGTGTCATTGGTTTCAGGTTTTTATCAGAATCAGCCCAAATTTGCAAAACTCTTCACAAACATGGCGTAAAGATCTTGAAATCAAAGTTTAAATCAATGTGGCAGACAGTAAAAGTATCAGACCTGCCCACCGAGGCAGAGAAATTTGTGGGCTTTACTCTTAAAAATCAGACTTTAAAGTCCAAGTATTTGGGTAATCAATCACATCAGTGCTGTATTTAGATTGCTACTCTATTATTTTTCTCTAGGAGACCCCTCCTCTTTAACACCTCCATGGCAGGCAGGTACAACATGGTCATCTCCAAACTGGGAATCGCTGTACCTATCAAATCCAGCCAGTATAGATTTTGTTCAGTTCTACAATCTATTGTGACTTGAAGGATTGGGGTGGTTTAGTAAGAAGTCTCTTAAGGAAGCTAGAAAATGAGCAAATGTGGTGTCAAGCTATTATAGTATTCACATTTCAAAGACTTTCAGACATCCCAGAGCAGAATGTTAACCCCTGACCTTGCCACAACTGCCTACCCTTGGTCTTCAGGGAGGGAGATAATGCAAGTTAATAATACTTCAACACCTTCTTTTACACAGGACCTACAGTTCATATCTTGCTTTGCCAGCAGTCTCTTTCAAGAACTATGGCCACTATGCCTAGTCAGATTTGGGGATGTGTTGTTTTGGAATTTGGACAATTTTTGCTTCTTCTCCAGTTTCCCAATTGTTTATCATCTATGGCTAAGAACAATTCACAGGATGGAAAAGCTCACTTCATTTGTAAATTTTGAATGATCCTATTACCCAGCCCACACTTCTGTGGGTTGCAGAATGCCTGCAAGACACGGAAGTAGACCATTCATGCCAACTTTTGGAACAACTGATTTTTCTTTTCTCATGTTCACTCTGGTCTCATTGACAAGAACAGAAGTCATTAAGGCTGTACTCTTATAGTGGTTTCCTATAATATTGTGGCTAAAGGATAAAACTGCAAATTTCTAATGACTTAAAATGTATAAAAGTTGATTTTCAGTGGTTTTGCATCTGTAGAATTCATTTTGTGACTAGTGTAACACAGTCCCTTATATGTATGCAATTTATGCCCCATTCCATGTACAAAAGAAGAACTAGGAAATGGCTGAGAGAATGCTATTGAAGTGGTCAAAAATAGTCTAATTAACATTTTTATTTTTATTTTTTTAACCTATATTTCATATATGTACATAGTTTTAAATTATGTAATGCTCTGATACTAATAAATAAAGAACATATTCTCACACTGAAACTCAAATGTCTCAGTATGTATTGAGTCACAGTCTGGAAACAAGCTGAATCACTGACATGTCAGATCAACACACCGCATTCCCATCTGACGGGAATGAAGCATATGATGTTGAACAGAAGCACTGTGGCACTGCAATAAGCGTGAAAACTAGACTTTGATGAAACAAATTGTGAACACAAATTAGGGGTGGGGGCTTGAAATCCATACTGTTATTTCCAGTGTGACTAATAGGAATTACAACAAACTGCTATCATGGCTACCAAGGCACCTCCAAGCCATATATCTCACCCAAAGCCACTGAGATCATCAGGGTTCCATTTCCTTCTGCTAATATTTTAATTAAATAAAGTGACTTCCTATACAAATGTTATAGTGAGCAACACTGCATCTAGTGCAGCCAGTGTACTAGAAGCAAAGATGTCCTGTTATTCTAGTGTGACTAATAGGAATTACAACAAACTTATATTCTGGCTACCAATTCACCACCAAGCCATTTCATGCAGTCAATGCACTGGAAACAGAGACTTCCTTTCCATTCTGTAATAGAGGTCTGTTTCACCGTGCAAGTCTTTACCTATCTAAAAAAAATATAATATTAAGGGCTGCAAGTCAGACCCTCTCCTTTTAGATGTATCTTCCTTTTATTTATTTATTTATTTTTTGCATTAGTTGCCTTAATAAAATCTGCCCTCCTGAAGTCCCTGAATTTCATGAGCAGTTCAATGAGTAGCACTGTCAGGGCACGGAAGATTTCTTGTACTGCTTCAGCCAACCCAACATTTCTTTTAATATCTACCCTATGGTCCTTTGGAGTGTACCTACTCTTAGTGATAGCAATGACTGATGGTAATGATGCTCATGCTGATTTGCTATGACTGATAAATAACGATGATAATGACCATCATCCTTGTTGTCATCATGTATCAGACATAACACCCACAAGCTTACAGACAAGAGTGTAAAATGTAGATACCTGCTACTGTTTGCTAGGTAGATCTAAAGCTCCAAGTACCCAAGTGAAAGAAAAAAGTATGCATCTAACTAAATAAAAGGCATTTTAAAAACAAATTTCCCCACTAAATTTATGGAAAGTAACAGATGTTCTGAGATCCCAGAACATCCCTTACTTTCCATAACTGAAAAAAAAGGGTGGGTCTAGAATTAGAAAGTAAGGGGGGATGAGTTTTCTACTTTAGAAACAACTCCAAAATGATCTTTCAAAAAAAATCATTGCTTACCCCATTCTTATCAAAAGCCTTGAACATATTCTCCACATAATCTCCTGCTTCTTGATTATTCTGTACCCCGAAGAATTGCTTGAACTCATGCATGAAGAGAGTTCCACTAGGACATTCTACCACAAACTTCTTGTACCATTCCTGCAGTTCAGCTGCATCAATATCAACTTGCTCCCCTTCTTCATTAGTCAAGTGTTGGCCCATCTTCCTCTGGAACAAAAAGGAGGCAAACATTATATATCCTTCCTTCCATCTTTCTTTCCTTCCTTCCTTTTCCCTTCTTCTATGAAAACTCCTGCTCTTCCCCTGTTATGGTATCTATGTTTGAGTTCTTTCAGGAAACATTGCCCATCTAAGCCAGACTACTTTTCCCCTTCCCTCTTACCTTTTTGCCTTGCAGCCTCCACTCACCTTTCCAGTGGAATTTACACACCAGTGCAATCAGGAATGGGCTCTCTGAACTAAACTAGAACAAGATAAAAATAACTAAGAACATTAGGAGATTCCCTTGTACACGTCACTGAGACCTTCAGCTGACTTAGGTCAATCCCTTATTTAAAAACTTCAGGACAATAGCTCGCCACACAGAGTCTCTGATGCCTGTCTACAGATCTGAAAGCTCCCCCAGTACTTTGTTCGAATCCTACTGGAATTTACAGGAACTATTTCTAATTGTTAGTACCAATACAAATGAACAAATATTTTGGGACAGCCTGGTTGCTTCTCTCAATCCAGGGACAACAACTGCAGATACAGATAAAACTCAATTCACAACACAACAGTGTATACATGATACTTCCCAACAATTCTCTTGATGTCATTTTTCCTTGTACTGTATATTCTATCCATTAATTTCTATGAAAGTACACAAACATACAACGTATTGCTATTTTCAAATCAAATAAATTATATAAATATACTTTGGAGCCTTCCGGAAAATTTACCAGTTATTTTGAGCTACTTTACAAGAGCTAACACTATTGGCACACTTTCTATTATTTCAGATGTAGAGACTACCTATAGCCTCTTGAAATAACTGTATATAACCACATGGCCTTATGCAATTAGAATTAAATTACATTCAACTAATTACTTTGGTTACTTTTTAAAAACAAACATTTGCTGCAAATTTAATAGCACAGAAAAACTGAACATTCCCAAAATTGCCCAAATTTAAAAAAAAAATGAAAACCTTTGGAAAAAAGAAAGTTGATACACACATTGTGTGTGCTTTCTCTTTCTCAGTCTTTTGACGGCATAATCAGGCTACTGTGTACTTTACCTTGCACATTGACAACATCTCTGTGAAGATCGGCCTGAGAAGTTACAACTGGCAGTAACTGGATTGACCTCATGACTCCTAATTTAATGGCTGAATTAGGAGATTCACTTTGACCTCTCCTCCAATCATGTCTATTAAATACTCTTTCTAATAAACCACTGTGATTGAAACAGTCATGCTATGCGTGTTCAGCACTCCTGCAATTTCAGCGGCATTGTAAATATGTTTATTAGAGAATCATTTCTGTGTAGCTTGTTTTCAATTAGGCATCCTCCTAAATTCCTGAGGATTTTCAAAGATTGCTAAAAAAAACAAACCAACAACAACAACAAACCAACATTGTCTTAACCATGCTTTCCGATTTGACATATCTGAACTACGGTTGCTGCTCCCCAACTCTAGAACTCCCTGTCATGGGAGGCCAGGCCGGCCACATCATTGCTGTCATTCCTCAAGTAGACAAAGACCTTTCGTCGATGTGGACCTTTCGCTTTGGGCAGGCTTTACTTTAAATGACCTTTTGGCCAAGGAGATTTTAAAGGGATCCTTTTATTCTGTGATTTGCCAGTTTAATGCTGCAAACAAAATCATAATCTAAGCTTTGAGTTTATAAAACATATTTTTTATGACAAAATGTTTCACTAACTGACATTGAATAGTAGTTTTTACTTGTGATTATGTGTCAGGATGAGATGGCTGGACAGTGTTATCGAAGCGACCAACATGAATTTGACCCTAACTCCGTGAGGCAGTGGAAGACAGGAGGGCCTGGCGTGCTCTGGTCCATGGGGTCATGAAGAGTCGGACACGACTTAACGAGTAAACAACAACAATGTGTCAGATAAGAACACTCTAAATGCATGCTCTTTGTATGAAAGAAAGACTCCACCTTTCAGAAGAATAGTGTGCATATTCTGTTTTCCTATAACTGTCCTGATTTCAAAAATCCCATTATTATTTTCATTGTTACCTAGGGCCAAATCTGTGTTCTGTCAAATGGAAACAAATGACTCATCTCGACAAAAGTGCTTGAGCCCTCTTCATAAGTAGGGAGGATTCCATTCTAAGAGGATTGGTACACTGTTAATAGGAAACAATGGCCTTGGTGATGTAATAACAACAAGGTAATAAGGATTAAAAAGGGTCAGCGGGCCATCTTAAACAAGGAGAAGCTAAGAAAAGAAGAAGAAAATTTTCAGATAGTGTTATAAAATTACATCCCAATAACCGACTTGTTAAAACTGAATCAGCAGGTGACATACGGCATTAGAAATCATACTGAACACATAATCAATACAATTTTAAAAGCTGAGTGACATAGATCTTTTAAAATACATAATATTTTGTTCCTGTCCCCCTGGTGTTTGATTTTCCCTGTTCCAGCTTTCTTTCACTCAAATTTAGCGCCAAGTGTCCAAAATCAAATGTATAATATATGGACAACTCTAGCACAGCATGCTTTCCATAGGGCTGACACAGCTAATTGTTCTCCGTTGGTTTCAAAAGAGGAAAGGGATTCCTAAACACACAGATCTGCTGTGTTAAAACCCATGGGAAACCTGTTCTGCACCTTTTACCCTAGCCAGCATGATCTAGCATGTTCCTTCCACCCCAGCTTCAGGGGATTTAGCTCTGTTAATCAATCTACCACCACCGTAGAATCAGTCAGGTCTGTTTGACCAGAGAAAAAGACAGCATCAAGGAGAGTGTAAGGATGAAGCTCTAATTGTGCAATCGTCCTGCGTCATTCACATAATTTTATAGTCATCCAGAAATCATATCCTATTCATAGTCTGCCACGCCTATTGTTTCTTCCATCTTGCTTTTTAAGAAAAAACCTGTCTGAAGGAAAGAAAGGTGTAACAACTACACAATGTCCTTTGGCTGCTAATGCCGAGAGTAGGAGGAACCCTCCATCTGGAAGCACTGCTGTATTTTCCATTAGAGGACAGGATCACAACATAGGGAGAAGTAGCAATGTACAGAGGCCCCCCTTTTCCTGCTGTTCTGTTCTCTGTAAATTTGCTCTGTTTTGAAAATTGATTGCCAGGCATGTGAAAGAAGATTCTGTGTGCCTGGATCTTAATTGCATCATTTTGTTTTGCAGTTTTGGATGTTTGCTCACAGGCACGCAGGGTATCTCCACTATATCTGTTTTGGGAAAAGTGCAATCAAGCAAAATAATTAATTCTGCTCATTTATGCTAATGCAAAACATATTCCTTTGAAGTACTAATGTGGCTCTTAAAGTAGATACAGTACTTTTGTAGTTATTGCTCAGGATCCTTTAGCCTGCTGATGACAATATCTTGTTGCTGTGAAAACATATTATTTCCATCCTACATCTTTGTAGAACAAGTTCTCATCATCATCTTCTTCATAACCATCATCTAACATATCAGTTCCATTGTCAATTCAGAAATGCAACCATATGAACACTGTTTAAAGAGTCTCTCTGCTGAATGGAATTAGAATGTAAATATAATTTGGTTCAGTCTCCTGTCAATACAGACAATCCACTCCTAAAACAGCCTTGATAGTCTGTTTCAGTTTCTGCTTCCAAAAAAAAAAAAAAAAACCTTTAAAAGGAAGGTCCACCAGCAGCGAAAGCATTCTGTTCCCCTGTTGTACAGTTTGTTCTACCAGAAAGTTCTCCCTAAAGTTTAGTTAGAATCTTTTTTTTTCTTGTAATCTGAATGCGTTGCTTCAGGCCTTTTACCCCTTAGAGCAGCGATGTGAACTTGTGGCACGTGTGCCACAGCTGGCACACAGAGCCCTCTCTGTGGGCATGCGAGCCATAAGTCGCCATCTCGAAATACTCACCTGTCCTCTGATCCTGGATTTTGGCACTCCCCTCTGCTGGTGCATTGGTCCAGCAGAGAGGTGCAATAGCAGTCTAGCCCAATAGGGGATTGGAGGACTGGTAAGTATTTCTTTGTTAATACCGCCCATAGAAAAACAACAACAAGCATTTAACCCTTGCAGTGCAGGGGCAGTTGTTTTTTCTAAACTGAAACCTCAGTATTTGGGTTTTAATTGCAGTGTTGGCACTTTGAAATAAATAAGTTGATTTTGTGTTACAGTTTGGGCACGTGGGCTCAAAAAGGTACACCATCACTGCCTTAGAGCAACAGAAAACAAGTTTGCTCCATTATTCATGTGATCACTCTCAAAGTATTTCAAGATGGCTATCATATCACCTCTTAGTCATCTTCAGGTAAGCATAGCCAGCTTCTTCAGTCTTTCCTAATAGAGTTTGGTCTCCAGCCTTCTGGACCAACCACCTTTATAACCTCTTGACTGTAAGGGACTTCTTTTAGACATGATCAGTTGTTGATGGCTTGCTGAAAACCCAGTAGTCAGAACAGAAAACTGTGTGCTTGATGAAGTCTAATTAAAGCAGAAATGGATGTTATTATTACCTCTTGTGAGCTTGAACTTGATGCAGCGTGCCAGGACCCAACAGTTCTATTGCTGCAGTTTACCATTTCTCCACTTTGAATTGAAATGCTCTAATCTTTCATGCATTTTCCTATGTTGAATTCATCCTATCCTCCCATGACATTCAAGTGACCCAATTTAAAAGCATGACAATATATAGTCACTCATTCTTGCCAGCACCATATGTTCCAGAGCATCAAAGGTAAAGAAAACACATATCACAAGGGTGTGAAGACAATGTGAAAGTTAATGTTACAGAATTTATTTATTTAAAATATTTCTACCCTGCAGCATTTGCCTACCAGCAGGAGGACAGCAAAGATGGGGCCAGCCTAGCTTCCCATGGGAGGGAGTTCCAGAGTCTGGGCCAAATCAGACCTCTCAAGAAATAGGCAAAGCTGGTGCACTAGTTTTAAATGTCCAAAAGCACTCCTGATCACTGCTGAAACCTGGGCATCCAGGCTCAGGAATGAATCCAGGAGCACCCC